CAGAGAAAGGGGGAAGAAGAGAAAAACATTTTTCAAGTATAGGTGTCAATTTTCCACCCACCTGATTCATCTGTGTTTTCTCTGATGTGTCCCAGTAAAAGTCAAACTAATTTAATTCAACAACACTGTATTATGATCCCGTAATTTGGGAAATGCTTTATAAAATGGTGCAATTATGCCTCGCTTCAAAATAGCATACTCATAAACAAGAACACTTTGAGGAACAAATTTTATTTTTAATTCAAGAAAATCGGTCCACATCACAAATCAAGCTAGATTTCATGCGGAATGCAGAGATAGGGCAATTTCAAAGGATTACAATTGTTACTACATGGAATAATGCAGCTTCTCAATGTCTGGTTTTTGTCTTTGCAAGTTCACTGGCATTCATACTAAATTTATACATGACATCCATGCCTGATTGAGAGAGAACGAGACAAATTTTAGAGAAACGATCTTAGAGAATAGCTGTAACAGCATCTGGTGTTACTTTAACAGCAGCGGAGAAACGATCACAGTAGGAAAGTAAAGACACAAGATACATAGATCTTCCTTAGCCAGGCTGCTGTGCTATCCGAAGATATTTAATCGAAAACCTTTAAACCCAGAGTAAGTCACACGTATCTCTTAGAGATAATAATGTAGTTAAAAATTAGCAGCCGCACAGAAAGACATGCACACATTTATTTAAACATTGAGTTCGAAAATTGACATGTAGCAATTTTGAATATTATATTTACCCCTCCGCATTTTGACAGGAATGAAGTGAACGTACTGGCGTTCTTTCCCACCAAGCTATTTTTTGAAGGAAAAAATTACAATAATCTATGAAAACTTTAAACATAAGTTATCATGCTCCTTCACACTCTTGAGAGCTTTGAAATTTCTGTAACTCAGGTCTTATCACCGTTGAACAGATATTTTTTATAAATCTGCTCAGTGTAAACCAGAAACATTCGCAGCGTTTGGGCTCCACTCAGCCAGTTTTCCCCATGGAACCAGGGAGGTTCGGGCTCGCGCAGGGCCGCCCCCAGGCCAGGGAGGGCAGCGGCCTCCTCCACCGCGGCGGCTGGCCCGCGGCGCCCCGTCCCCAGAGAGCGCGGCGTGCGGGCTCACCTCAAGTGCCCTGCTCAGCAGCTGTCGCGTGGAGGCGGCCGCCTGCTCAGGCGAGGCCAGGGCCCTGGGGCTGCCTGTCCCACCTTGGTCTTTCAAACGCAGCGTCGGTTTGGAGAGTGAGCCGTCCTCCCTGTGTGCGAGGACCAAAGACGGCCTTCCCGGGCGCGACTCCCCAGCAGCACGACACCAGCCCCCCGGGGGCCCCGGGCCGGTCGCCTCTGCGCCACACACCTCGCGCCCAGGCACCCCCGTGGCCCCTTCGCAGGGACCGGAGCCCCTGCCGGGAGCCTGGTGACGCAGGGCCGCGCCCCGACAGGCCCGCAGCGCGGGTGCGGCGCCCCCGCGGTGCCTCGGCATCGCGCGCTGTCCTCAGGCTCGACTTTTCCACCTCCAGAGGAGGAAATACTAGAACGCAGCATAATCTAGAAGCAGAGAAAATCACCATTTCGTCATTTTATTCTTCCCAAGACAGCAAGTAACGGTCAGCGTGCTCGGCCACCCTTTCTCCCGACACGTTAAAGCAAACAGGTCATTACAGGAGCAAGTCACTACCGCGTACTCGACGAATAGCTCGACGAATAACCTAATAGGCAACACTTTTTTAACAGCCAAGAAAAATATAAGCCACTTACACATTCAAAACCTGGGAGAGAGCCTCAGCCGGTATAGACCAAAGTTGACAAATTTTAGACGCCCCCGGAAGAGGCAGACACTCCGATATGTGCACCCATGACGGGGCCGCGTGGCCTCTGCGCAGGCGTGCACTGAATCCGTTTAAGCAAGAGCGCGATGGAGCTCCCCGCGCGTCCCTGTCTGCCCGTGACGCGGCCTCAACGCCCGCATTCCAGAACTCGCAGGACCGCGCGGCGGCTGCGGAGGGAGGCGGCGCCTGGGTCAGCTGTCCTCCCCTGCGGGGGGCGGGTGCCCGGCCCTGGGGCTCACTGACATACCAGAGCCACGGCTGCCTTGTCTTGGGCCAGGAGCAACAGCAGTCATCTGAGATCAGAGTGTCACGCTGAGCCACGCAAAGGCATGGCCGGGCCTGAGTCACGCAGCTCAGCTGTCCACTCCCCTCCGACTCCAGGCAAAGTGGGGATTTTCCTGCCAGGAGTGCGGAGTGAGGTGGTCGGGGGTGCGGGGCCGGGGGGCAAGTTACCGCAGAAGTACGGGGGGGGGGGCGGGGGGGGCGGGGGCGCAGGGGACGACCAAGAAAATGGTGTCCCCTCCCCACAGGCGCAGCAGCAACAATTGTGTTAACAGCAAAAACACGTCCCTTGAGCGCACGGAAAGCGGCCTCCGAGCCCCACACAGCGCAGTGGGTCACACCAGGGGAGAGGGACCATCTCCAAGGCGTCTCCGGGGAGCGCAGCCCAGGAAGCCTGTGCCGCCGCGTCGCCGCACTCACCCGTAGGAAGCCGAAACTGGGGCTTGTCCGTGAGCAAGAGCGAGCACTCAAACACTGCGAGCCTGTCTCCCCGCGTGGAGACAAAAGCCCAGACAAAGAGCCGCTGCCTTTGGCAGTGAGGCAGCCAAATCTAAGGAGACGACATCAATTTTCTTTGAAGTTCGCTGAAAAACCAGGTTTTCAGGCAGCATGACTTCAAAGGCACACGCGCTGTTTCTCCCTGAGCCTGGCGGCAGGGAGGAAAGGCGTGTGTCCTTCCCGGAGAAGACAAGGCGACTCTGACCTGCCACGTGAACTGCACCCGGCGCGAGGGATGCCCGCACCCAGGAGGCGCAGGGCGCGCCTCCGCCGCGCCTCTGGGGCTGGAGTCCTGGCAGCACTTCTGGAACGGCTCGTTCCAGAGACGTGGGTTTAGAGCGCTGCAGCCTGTAAGCTATCATGAGGGTCAGAATTTGTTATAGAAGTAAACATGCTAAACTCTGAAGGAAAGGTGTTGAGTCAAAGCACAGCGGGCATGCAGATTTGCATGACACTCCGGGAGCTGGGGTCCGCAGGGCGGTGGTCTCCCCAGCGCTGGGAGGGGCCCGAGGCTGGGCCGGGCCAGTGCCTTGCGCTGACCTGCGTTCAACGTGTCTTAGGAAAAGCAGCATTTTTTTTAACGCTTCCATCTGTGTGTGTGGGAATCTGAAGAGGAAGATCAGGGAACAGCCGCGGTGCGGGGAACGGTCCCATCCCCGCAGGTCCAGGGGCGCCAGGGGGCGTGCGCAGGGGTGAGCTCGCACACAGAAGGTGTCCCTGCGCCGAGACAGCAGCTTCATGCCCCGCAAAGCGCACGAGGTATGGCTCTCGGGCTGCAGCGTGTCGGTCGCCCTGTTTGAATAAAGTGCAAAAGGAGTTCCATGCAAAGGGCTTGTGCTGAACTTTAAAACACTGGCAGGCACAGGCACACAGCGCCTTTCTGGGCCAGCACCCAGCGAGCGCCCAAGCTGTTCAAGGGTTTCCTTCTGCCTGTCTGTCCAGAGACACGGCAAACGCCAGCCCTGTGCTGGCCGAGCGGAGCTCCCCGGAGCCGGCGTGCACGGGCTTACGGTGACCTTGGTTTTGTTCTAACATTGGATATTTCACGTGCAGTCCTAACTGGACACGGTGTACATCGCACAAAATCCTTTTTTTTTTAAAATTGTCTTGCTTTTGTGTCCTCCTAAAATATATCGAAGTGTTACATTCGGAAAACTATCTTCTAATAGAGGATAATTTAATCCTGTCATACATTTGTCTCGCTGCCAGCGTGACTAAGTGTGAATTTGTCATAAAAACTACATCTGAAACTCCAGTGGCGATGGTTTTAACCCCAAATTGACATTTCCAAAGGGAATAATATTTGGGGTAAATGAGCATTAGGCATCATTACAATTAAATAAAAAAGCATTTGTTTGTACGAGACAGGCTATCCTTGGGTGCACCTGTTCCCAAGACTCGTTTTCTTCGAACGTTATCTGAAGCAAACGTTCAGAACCCTGTCCCCGCGTGGCATAGCCTCACCTCGCGTGACTCACTGAATCCTGACTAGAGTTTGGTCCCTCGCTATTACCATCTACACATCCTCCTCACAGACAGTATTTTAAATTCCATTCAAGCCACAGCTAAGGCCTTGGCCAAGACGCCGCACACTTTCGATGCCCAGTTTCATTGTCTAAAACTCGTTCACAGCCCCCGCCATTAGATTAGCTGGGCCTGGCGCTTTCCCGATCGGTTTCTCGGGCCACTCTGCAAGCCCGAGTTCAGAGGGCCGGTCTCACGGGACGGCGCCAGCGGCCAACGCCCCAGGGTCACGGCCGCCACGCCCCGTGGGCCACCCGGGGTCCCTCCAGGGACCTCGCCATCACAGACGGCGCGGGACACCTTCCAAGCCTCGAGCGGCAAATGCGGCCGGTGCGAGGGATGGTGGCCAAGCTGGGCTCCCCCTCGACAGCTGCGCCTCTGCACACACAGCCACTGAATTAAGGTCAGCGACACTTTTCACTGTGCCCACGGCCATTGAGCAAGACACAGAGCTTACAACGTCACCCCTTCTCTTAAAACCAAAGAACAAAAGCACAAATGTTTTCCTACATAAACCTGCTTCAGAAATACAGATCGTAAATATTCCTGAACGTACTAATGCCTCCTCCTTCCTTCTTCTAGACACAACTGCACACACCTCTGGACTGGTACGGAACTGTCATTTCTGAAGCGGTACGACACAATGCAGCGTTTTCTTTCCTTTGGAAATAGAATTTTAACATGAAACAAAATTCGGAAATGATCTCAGACCGAGGCGTTTCCTCAGTGGATCAAAGCAGTTTGTAACGACAGGCGGAGTTCCACCGAGGCGACGCGGAGGGCCGTGCGGGGCGCGCGCAGCCTCGTCTGACCCTCCTCGCGGCCCCCGCGCCGGCCTCGCCACCCAACGCCCCGAGGGGGGCCGCCGCGCCCCGCCTCACACGTGCGTGCAGTTGGTGGACGGCGGGGTGTCGGGCCGACCCTTGTGGTCCCTGCCGTCACTGAGGGGCGACTCGCTGCGCGCGCGGCACTGGAACACTTGGCGGTAGGCCTTTCGGAAGTTTTCGGAGAGGAAGGCGTAGATGATGGGGTTCACCGAGGAGTTGCTGTAGGCCAGGCAGTGCGCCGTCACCCTGAACAGGAAGGAGGCCGGCGTCAGCGGGAAGACCCCAAACTCGGCCCAGAGGCGGATGACGTGGTGCGGCAGCCAGGAGATCCCGAAGACCACGACCACCACCAGCACCGTCTGCGCCGTCTGCGGGGCAGAGAAGGCAGGCCGTCAGCGCCGCCGGGGACCGCCCGCCGGGAGCAGTGCGCCCCACGGGGTCGCGGGCCTAGGCCCGCGGGGTCCGGGAGGCTAGATCCGCGCTCGGTGTCCGCGCCCTTCGGGCCGCGCACTGGCTCTGCGCGGACTTCTCCGGGACCTGCCATGGCCTCCCGCAGGAATCGTTCGGCCACGTACGTGCGTGCGTGTGAAGGCCGGGACCGTGCTTTCCATCACGGCAGTGGAAAGCCCTAGAGAAGCAACCTGGCCACTGTAAAAACTTCAGCGCTGGGATTATTCCCCCTCCCCACCCCCGCAGGCAGTTTAGAGCGCCTGCGCCCCGCCCCCACCCACCGGGCCCCGCCCCCAGCACCTGCCGGAGAAGCGGTGGCCTCCCCAGATGCGTGAATGTTTATTTGTCCTCCTTAAACTTTGGCAAGTTGAGGCGCGGCCCGTCTCAGAGCCACATCGGTTTCCGCCTGCCCAGCAGTAGCCCCTGGCTTGCACCACAACCCTCCTCGGCGCTCGGAACCCAGCAACCCCGCCCCCGGAGGCAGGGCCCCCTGTGGCTGACAGGGTTTCCTCCCAGGGAAGGACCTCGGCAGGGACGAGCCCCCTCCCGCCCCCGTCCCCCTCCGTCCCCCTCCATCACCCCCCCCGCCCCTGCCTGCCCTCTGGCGCCCGCAGCCCCGCTGGGCGCCCTGCACTCCTCCAGCCAGAGCTGGGACAAGCTTCGGGCCACCTGTCCTGTGCTTCGTCCCCGCAGGTTCAGCGCCTGTTGCAAGGTAGCAGCTACGGAGGTGACGTTGTGATGAACTGAAAGCTCCGCCTCCGCGGATGGAGGCAGGAGACGGTGGAGCAGGTGGCCAAGGCTTGGATCCAAGCCAGGCGAGCGCGGGGGCGGAGGGGCAGGAGATGAGAGGGGAGCTCACTGTCCAAAGGTACCGGGGGACGGATGGGCGGTAACCTGGTTGTCCAACCCGGAAACAAGTCCGCCCCGTGGGCCTCGGCTTCCTCGTCTGAGCCTCGGGGCCGCCTGCCCACAGGTGTTCCCAGGTGGCGGTGGGCTTGGCGAAGACACCTCGAGGCACGAAGCAAACTAGCAGTCAGTCGGCTCCCCTGCCTCGGGGCCGTCTGCTGCAACCCGCTCCTCCGTTGCTGAAGGAGACACTGGTCCTTGGGCCACGGACCCAAAAGCCCCCAGGTGTCTTGGAACCTGCCAACAGGGGGCACCGCTGGCTCTTCCTGAGACAGCAGCAGCATCTCCTGCTTCGCCGAATGAACACCCGCTGGAGCGCCGTGGGGGCTCAGACGAGGAAGCTTTTGCCACGTGCTCGGTTCAGGGCAGGAGCAGGCCCAGCGGTGCCCGGGAGGACCCTGCGGCACCAGATGAACAGGGGACGGCGCTGGGCGCCGAGTAGGGGCGCGTCCTGTGGCGCGTCTGTCGCTGCGTGTCTGTAGGCCGTTCAAACCTCGCCTTTCTGTCATTCGCGGCCGCCCTGATCTTCGCAGACCCATGAACAAGATGATTTTTCTCGATCCGCCCGAAGCCTTGAAAAATGCGGCCGCGTCCCAGTGTGCGGCCCAGCGGGGCAGGGCGCGGAACCAGCGCTGACACACACCGCGTCGTTTCTCGGAGGCAGTCCCAGGAGAGTCCGCTGGAACGCTCCCGGCAGAGCGTCCGCAGGCCTCACTGCGGCCTGCGCTTCCCAGGCCCCTCAGCCCCACGGAGCGGGAGTTCCGGCAGCCGGGACACGGGCGGCACCCTGCAGCCCACCCCGCGCCTGGCCCTGCCCTTCCCAGGCCGCCTCCAGGGCAGCCCCGCGACGGGGCTCCCAGGCCTCCAGGCTGCCGGGGAGGGGTACAGGGAGGAAGCCCCCACATGTGGGCGGAACACCGTCCTCACTCGCTGCTGCTTCCCACGCTGCTGGGAGTCAGAGGTCTGGGCCGGATAACGCTGCCCAGGCCCCCCGCTGGGCCAAGGCCGACAGGCGCTCATCACTGCCCAGGGCACGGCTCGCGCAGAGGCCGGGCCTCCGGGCCTCGCCCGCCCCCCGCCCAGCCCCGCGCAGTCGGGGACGATCACCAGGAAGATTCTAAAAGTCTCAGGTGTTCGAAGAACCACTGAGAAAAGGCACAGCAAAAGCAAACAGTCTTGCCCACTTCAAGTTAAAGACCAAGGGGTCCCTCAACGTTTACAACCCCCGGTGCGCCCCAGAAAGACCTGGAAAAGCTGCTTGCTCGCCTTCCCCGTGAAATGCCAGGATGTCCGGAAGGAACGCCCCCTCTGTGGGGGATGAGGAGGATTTCATACAGTTTCTCCCAGGGTTTGTTTTCCATTTCCTAGGGCGTCCGAGACGGGGCGCCCACTGTGTCTGCACGTGCGTGGCGCTCGGGCGTCTGCACGGAGCCCCAGCGGTGAGGTCGCCTCGGAAGCGGCGTCCCGACCCCCGCACGGGCTCACGGGCTTGGGGCTGGCCTGCCGGCTCCCGCTCCCTTTGCGCCTCACGCTGAAGGCTCCTCTCCTCTTCCTCAGACGCTCTTTGCCAAGGCCTCGGAGGCATCTGTTTTTCCTTCAAAGACTTTGCTCAGACTCTGCCTAATGGAACTCGGCCGGGGAGGAAAGAGGGGCTGAAGGAGGAGGAGGATGAAACGCGTTCTGTAACCCTGCGACGGCAGCCCAGCAGCCTGCCGGTGGCTCGGGAGAGCACCTGCAAGGCGGGGACGGGGCGCGACTCCGTCTCTGAGCCGGGCCGACGGGGCCCCAGGGGTGAAAGGGAGACCCTGGGCCGACGGGGTGACCCGGGAGCCTCGCTCAGCCTCCTCCCGCGGCGCCGTCTGCTGCCGTCGGCCGGCCCGAAGGCTCCCAAAGGCCGCCCCGAGCCCGGGTCCTGCCCGCCCAGCCTGCAGCGGAAAGCAGCCGCCGTGCGGGGCAGCGCGCGGGACGCCCCTCAGGGCTCGGTGCTCTCGCTGCTGCCGCTCTGCGGTGGGGCCGCGTCCTCCTACTGCGTGTCCCCCCCGCGCGGGGATAACTGTGCAGGGGTCCCTGTACGGAGCGGGGGATACGGCACAGAGATGGGGACTGGACCGGGCCCTGAGGAGGAGCTGGAGACAGGGAGGCCGAAGGGAGGGCACCGCCGCCGTGGGATCCCGTCGCGCCCCAGCAGACGCTGAGGGTGCACGCGCAGCGGCGCTGCTTCCGGGGCCAGGACCGGCGGGCCCTGAGCCGTCTGGTCTCTGCCTTCAGGGACTCGCCGCCGACCTGGCTCCCTGCCCCGGGCCTCCCCCTCCCTCCTGCCTGCCCCTCCCTCCCAGGCCCCCGTCTCCCCTCCCCCGCACCTCTCTGCTCTCTCTTTCTTACCCACACCCCCCACACACACCACGCTCTGTTTGTTCTATGCAAACAAGGAGGCAATTAAATCTGTCACAACAGACCAGACATCTGTTCGGTGGCTATTAAGGGTCAGAGGCTGTGAGAAAGGAAGAGGCGCCCTGCCTCCTGCTTCCCGGGGCGAAAGCTCCGCCCCCCCCCCCCGCAGGGTAAGACGGGTTCACACGCTCACGTGCAATAGACATACACAGACACGCGCACATCATACGCTCACGGACACACCGCTACACCCGCACACCGCTACACCCACACACACAAATCTAAACGTCATGGTTGCTGAACCAGCTACCAGTCTGTAGGCCTGGTCCCTGTGAGATTAAGCAGATGCTTCTCTCACCGTGTCTCACAAGCCTGGCTCCCAGCCCTTCCGCCACTGTGTTCTTCTCGGGGACTGTCTCGATTTCTCTGCACCCTCTTCAAATACAGGAACGGAAACAGCCACCGCGTGCAAGGCAGGCACGGCTACTTCAACGAAGCTTTACGCCCGCCCTGTCGGCGGGTCCGAGGTCTCCAGCGTCAGACGGGAGCCGTGTGCCGTGTGCGCGGCGTCACCCGTGTGCCTGTTCCGCCAGCGGGTTGGGCCCGCTCTTCGGGGGGAGCTCTGTGAATTACCCTCGGGGGCAAAGCGTAGCAATCCCTCATTTTTAGTGCATCATTTTCTTGCAGATGAGGAGTGTGGCTCAGAGGACACCGAGAGGGGGATGAGGAAGAAACAGGACCGCTCCGGTGCCCCACGCCTCACGGGCTGCAGCAGGAAGGAGCCAGGGGCCTCCACACCACCGTGCGCGCCGCAAGCTTCTGGGGACACCGCCCAGGCGCTGCAGCGAGGGTCTGGGCAGCGGGCGGCGGCCCGGACGCCCCGACAGACGGACCCTGACGGCCTCGTCGTCCTCGCTGCGCCTTCTGCTGCCGGCCGGCGCTCCCGGGCACGGGCTGGTTGTGCGTCAAAGCCCGGCTGCACTGTGTGCTTTTAACCAAGGGGACCACGTGTGGCCTTGCTCTGGCATTGCTCATGGACGAGGAAAGTCGGGAAGAGCTGGCTGTGCTTCCCTTGGACGGGATTTTTACGATTGAAATAGAATTTAAAGACGATTTAATAGAAGTAATTACGATTGAAATAGAATTTCTGCCAATTCTGTGTCATTCATCATCATAAATATTTAGAAGGGAAAAGAAGGTCTCTTAAGATGTTACGGCTGATGTGTCTGGATAAAAATGCGTGGCTGTAACCTCCTCTCCCCACGTCACACTGTGGAATGATCTCATTCTATTTTCTAAAATCAGGAGTTATACGGGTGGTGTCTGAGTCAGAGTTAAATTAACCCTGATTTGTAAAATAGTTTTTCCCTCAAAATGTGACGTGTCCTCAACAGGGGGGTGTGAGATGCTAACACTCCTCGGAAGTTTGTTTGAACTTGGATTCACGGTAAGGAAGGCAGCCAGGAGGGGGGAGCCGCCCCACCCCCGCCCGCCCCTCCCAGCGGCAGGCTTCCCCACCCCCGCCCCCCGCCCCCGCCGGGGTCCACAGCAGCGCGAGCCTGGGGGGCAGAGAAGCGCTTGGGCTGCAGGGCCGACTGCAACCACGTCCCCCTCCTTGTCACAGCCGAGCCAGGGCCCTCTGGGATCCCGCCGCGGACGGGAAATTCGCGGTGAAGTGACTACAGTTTGTGCAAGTTATGGATGCGGCAGCGGGACCGCACAGTCCCGGCTCCGAGTCCGGGAACCGCGCGGGCCCCACCTCCGCGCCCCTCTGCCCCGGTCTGGGCGCCGCAGCGCGGCCCCCCGAGAGCCCGAGGGCTGACTTTGCGTCCCCGCCCTGCGTCAGGCCATCCTCCGCACACTGGGCGGAGGCGAGGAGGACGGCGACAGCGGACAAACTACGCTCCCGCCAGGGACCGAGGCAACGTATGTTTGTGGTCACCGTTACCTTTTTCTTCGATGCCTCCGACTTCTTTGACATGTTCTTCAGCTTCTTGTGCAGATGATTAAGGACCTGAAAGACACAGACCGTGAAAGTCAGTGTCCTCCTGCGCCGCCGCCGCGGTCTCTACCGCACTGACGAGCCTCGGCAGCGCCGTCGTTCACAACGCCATTCAAACCGAAACTCGCAGGAGGCGACCAAGGAACGAGGGCTGCGAACCGAGAGCTGGGCGCAGAGCCTGCCCGCCAGGCGCTCGAGGGCGTGTCCGGAACGAGCCACCCCACGCCCCGCGCGTCCGTGTGGGTCCACCTTCCACCCGGATTTCCCCCAAGTTGCTGCATTTTCACCCATACCGGTCGGACGCCATGTGAAACGCGCACTAAAGCTAGCGGCCGCCCTGCAGCGCACCCTCCTTGGGGACAAACAAAGACGGTGTCGTCAGGGAGGTCTCACGCGGCCGGTGTTTGCTTTCACGTGTCCTTCCTGCTTTCCCTCCACCGCTGTCTTCGCGACAAGCCTCCTTACAGCAAAATTCCACCCCCCAGGCCTCTTTCTGTCACAGGCCACCCGTGGCCACCGTGCAGAGCTTTGAAACATCCTGCACCTGGGGGACTCAGCCTCGATGCGCGGCCGTGAGCAAGGGTGGCCGTGGGTGCCCTGCTGGGTGTCTCCTGGAGAGATGGCAGCCTTGATCTTAGAGAAGCTGCCCTTGCCGCCTCTCGGGGCCGAAGCAGGAGAGAGGCCGTGGAGCATTTGCGCCGGCGAGTTCCCAGCCGGCCAGCAACCGCTGTGCTGACGCACATGCCTCGCCCGCTGCGGGGAAATCTAAGGGGGACACACCTCCGGGGACTGAGGGTTTTGGATCGTGCGTGAGCCGCCCAGGGAGCCTCCGCGAGGACGCGACCCTGTCCCAGCCACGTCTTTGCTTCCCTCTGGCACCACAGTGTGGAGGTAATTTAATCAAATCAGGTTTCCTGCCACAACCTGCCCCGCGCGCAGGAGGCAGGCCTCTGGGTGATCGGTCACATGTGACAGGAACCGCGGGGGCCTGGCGCTGGCTCAGGGCTGTCATTGCGTGTCCCCTACAGCGCTTCGCCTCTCCCGCGGCTCCGGGCCCCACTTGCTACAGCAGCATCTGGGGTCGCCCTGAACACACTGGCAACGGGTCAGGTGGCTGTGATGCCGCCGGAAACCGGGGTGCCGATCAGCGGACGGAAGGCAAAGATAAAGGGGGGCTTTGGCAGAAGCAGGTGCGCAGGGCCGTCAAAGGGGAAGGTAAGCGCAGCGAGCCGGGCAGCCCGCAGGCACGCGCCTGGCCTGGCGGGCTCCTTGGCGGCAGCGAGACACTGGCCACTGAGGACAAGGGACCAGAGCGGAGGATGAAGGGGAGGCGGCCAAGCGAAACCAGAGAGCGGCTCCTGGAGAGGAGCCGGGACAGAGGAGTCCGACGTCCTCTGCCTCCCAGTGCTGTGCGGGGGCCTCCTCACCCCTCAGCAAACCGGGGGGCCGCCTCCCAGGACCCTCAAGCGCCTACGGAGCGCTGGGGGCGGTTCGGGCAGGAGGCGGCGCGTCCGCTTCCCCGAGCTGTTTCGCTCTCTGGCCCACGCTGCGGGCACACATCAACGCGTCACGATGCGTCCCAGCCACTGGCACGGTCGCCAGGAAAAGGGCAGGAGGGCAGGTGTCGTGGTGGGTTCTGAACACATTTCTTTAGAGGGGAGCGGCGGCGTCCCGGCGGCGCGTCTCCGCCGTTCTGCGCACTGAGGGGTGTGGGGGAGGGCGAGGCACAGGCTCAAACCTGAGCCCGGGCAGGGTGGGCGGCAGGTGCACTGGGGGCTGGGGAGGAGCCTGGCAGGGTGCGCGGGTCACGTGTGGCCGCCACCCTGAACTTCACGTTCAAGGAGCAGAACCCCTAACTGGGGCGCTTCCGCCGGGGGGCTGAACCGAAGAACAGCAGCTGGAAATGAGGCATCACCTCCGTCCACGGCAGCCACAAAACGATCCGGCTTCATGAGGCTGACTTCAAAAGACACCTTCAGTTATGCTTAAAAACAAACTCTCCCCATGTTTAAAAGAATCCCCACGATCACGTAGTTACTGAATTTTCAATGACCATTTTCAAACTCTATGCTGCGATAGAAACGTAGCCTCGTTTACCCCTGCGTCAAGAAGACCTAAAAACTTCTGGGAAGTGAACAGGTTACGCTTCCGTTCTGACCTGTGCAATTATGAATGAAGAGGCAAGTATCCAAAGACTCCCTCTAGTCCCTAGCGGCAAGTCCCCAAGGCCCTCACCGGCGGTCCCCTCCCCCGGAGGACGGGGAACCCCACGTTGGAGCCGTCCCGAGCCGTCCGCCAGCCCCCTGGTCGGGTCCGTGGCTGCGTCCCCCAGCCCCCGCCCTCACCGGTGAAGCGGCCAGGACAGCCCCGGCGGGGCAGCCGGCAGGTGAAATGATCCGGGGGCACGTCACACCTCGTGCCAGGCGGCGCGAGTCCCCGCCCCGCGCCAGCGGGAGACGGGGCGACTGAACCAGCCGTGCCCCCAAGAGCTAAGCCAGCCTATTCTTCTAAATTCCCTACCCCTTTCGGGCGCCCATTCTTCCAGATTCCACCCCAAACTATTTATGACCATTCAGAACAGACACACGTCTGCATCGAAAGATCCGGGGAGGGGAGAACAAAACCCAGGTGGCTCATGTAAACCCTGTTGCCAGAAAAACACTCTGAACTGAGCAAGAGAAAGTGCCGGTGGACCCCACCCGGGAGTCCTGGCCCCGCCATCGAGCAGGGAAGGACCAGACGGAGACACACGGGCGGGAGGTGGAACGGGCAGTTTCGCTGATGGCGCTGCGGCGTGGGGACGTGGGGGCTTCACTCCGGCCGCGGGGGATGAGGCGTGCGCTCGCTTCCGCTCACACAGCAACAAGCTGTGTCAGATGTGTGAGACTTCGGGGGGGCGTGAAACCCTCAAAGGCTGTGCTGTGCTGTTGGTAGAGTTTGCAGGGCTGAGTGAAGGGCAGGGGAGAACGGAGTCCCAGTGGGCGGGACAGGTCTCCGGGCTGGGCCCCGGGCGCCGCTCCCCAGTGAGGGAGTGGGACCTGCCACCGGCACCGCCGACACCCTTGACAGAACCTTCCTCAAGGGAACCACAGCCCACCCTCCAGAGCTCTCAGGGGACCCGCCCCGTCGCTGAGAAGCAGCGCTGCTTCTCCGCCCGGCACACAGAGCTGAACTTCTGGGTAAGATAAAATGCCAGGCTCTGTCCCCGGGGCGGTGGCTTCCGGTAGCCACAGAGCCGGGTCCCCGCGGAGCCTCCCACGCCCCGCTGGAAGGAGCCCCCCCGGAGCCACCGCCTCACGTCCCAGCTGAGTGCCCGGCAGGCGGGGGTGACTGTCACCTGGCAAAGGGCCGGCAGCCCGGAGTGGCGGAGCCCCCACTCCGCAGCCACGCGCAGGCTATCCCTGTTGGAGTCGCTAAAGCCCCGCGGCTGTTCCTCCACCTGGGGACAACCTGGGGCTGCGGTGGCCACGGCCGCCACCTGGAGGGGAGGTGGGACCCTGGGAAGCGAAGTGCACTCTCTCCCAGCGCCCCCCAAACTCCAGGCAACTTTCGCTGCGATGGGGAGCGCTCCCTGCAGAGGGCACAGAGACCTGGCGCAGGCGGCGGGGGCGGCTGCGGGGCTCAGAGAGGGCCCATGGGTGCCCGCCGCCCCACCCCGTCCCCCCTGCCGGCGGTGCCCACCTTGGCATAGCAGAAGCAGATGAGCAGCAGCGGCAGCAGGTAGCCGAAGACGAAGGTGCTCACCACGTAGGCCTTCTTGTGGCGCCGGTCGGGCCACTGCTCCCAGCAGAAGGTCTGGTTGCTGGGGCCCAGGTGGAGGAGGCGCTGGTGGTAGGCCACCGGCGAGGCCATGGCGGCCGACAGCGCCCAGATGCAGCCGACGCCCAGCAGCGCGTTGCGGGACACCCGCAGGGAGGCGGAGCGCCGGGCGTGCACGATGGCCACGTAGCGGTCCACCGACATCGCGGCCAGCGTGAAGATGCTGACCAGCATGGAGACGGTGAAGAAGTAGTGGGTGAACTTGCAGGCGAAGGCACCCAGCACCCAGGTGGGCAGCGCGTACACCGTGGCCTGGAAGGGGATGCAGAAGAGCAGGTAGGCCAGGTCGGCGATGCTCAGGTTGAGGATGAACAGGTTGGTGGTGCTGCGCGGCTTGCCGGGCCTGCTGCGCGCCAGCACCGCGATCACCAGGCTGTTGCCCAGCACGCCCAGCGCGAAGATCAGGCCGAACGCCACGAGCGTGATGAAGTTCTCCACGCCGATGCCGAAGAGGGGCGGCGGGTCTGGGGCGGGGGGCTCGGGCCCGCTCGCGTTCCCCTCGCTGAGGTTCCCCGGCGCCAGCTCCATGGCCCTCGGGGGAGCCTGGGGCGCGTAGGGAGGGCTGCCGGCCTGGGACGGGGAGTGTCGCGGGGCGCCGGGGTCCCAGCCGCGAGCGCAGAGTGCGAGGTCCCCAGCCTGAGCCTCCCCGGTGGCGCGCCCGGGGCGGCGGTGCCTGCCGGCAGCGTCTCTGTGCGGGTCCGCCTGAGAGCTGGACCTTCGCGGGCGGAGGCGACGGTCCAGAGAGAGCAGGGGACCCCCGCCCGGACGCTGCTGCCCGCGGCGCGGCCACTGAGCAGGGGAGGAGGGATGCGCCTGGTGCAGCCTCGGCGGCGGAGCGAGCCCCTCGCTACGCCTTACCGGCCCCGATGCCTGCGGCCGAGTCCCTCGCTGCGGCAGTGGCTTCGCGCTACACCTGTTGCTCCGAGCCGCTCCCTTCCCGCGCGCACCCGGCGCTCGGCGCGGCGCGCACGGGGCTCGTCGCGGTTCGTGGAGAGCGCTGCCCGCGCCTCCCAACCGCCCGGCGCCCGGCTGTTCTAAGTGGTCGGCGGGGCGAGCGCTCTTTCTGTGCTTCCCCGCGGGTCGCAGGGGGCTGCTCCGGGCTCCGCGTCGCAACTGAGACCTACCGAGGACACAGCCCGTCTGAAACCCGCGCCTCCTGGGGGCCGCCCCGTCCCCGGAAGTCACCGCGCGCGGAGACGGGCCGATCCTAAAGGATGGGTCGCCGCCCGCCCCCACCCCCTCGCCGCCAGCAGCCGGGCGCTGCGAGGTGCGACCTGTGGGAGTCCAGCGGAGGCGGCGGCCGGGCTGCGGCCCCAGCCTGGCGCGCGCGAGGGAGGGAGGCCCCGGGGCGCGCAGGCCTCCGCGCCGTCAGCACCCGGCGTCCTTCTCCCTCCAGCGAGGCTGCCAGTGGGCGCGCTCCCTGCCCGGTGATGAAGCCCAGGACGCCAGCGATTGGCACCCGATCCGAGTTCTGTGGAATCCCTAATCCCCACCCTCCCCCGCCCACCCCTGGAGGGAAGAGGCAGGACAGGAAGATGAGGAGCCGCTCCGAGTCCCCCTTATAAACAGGCAGGAGGAAGATGAGAGGGGAAGGTGTCGCGGCCACATCACCCAACTTTCGGTCTGTGCTGCCTGACATGGCTCCTCTCGGGACAGACGGAAGCGCTGGCCTGAAACACTGGCTGCGATAGGGGGGCATGTTTAGCTTCCCCGTGTGACGACGCCCACAGGAAGCGGGCTGCTTATGTGGAGCCCGGAGGGCAAACGCTGGCCTTGGTGGTCACCTCCAGTCCCCCAGTCGAGGGCCAGAGCAGGCTCACCTCCTTGCAGTGTTCACAGGGTCTGTCTCTCACTCACCTCCAGGAGCCCCAGCCTGTGTCCCCTGTGCTCCCAACGGCCCCCGGCTCCAAAGGACTCCCTGAGGCACGGGGGGCGGGGGCGAGGGGGGCGTGGAGCGCAAGGCCGGCCGTGTCTGGGCGGCTGGGGCGGGACACCGCAGAGGTGCCGGCGGCTGGAGGGCAGGGCCAGCGCCGTGCCAAGCTCGCGCAGCCCCCGGCCGGGCCTCCTCTGCCCTGGGAGCTGGGGACGTAAGTCATACGCCATTTCCGTTTCATTGTACCTCCCTGGTTCTGCCCTGCCTCACCTCCACGCGGACTTTGATGCAGTTTGTTGAATGCCCTCCCCATACCAGATAGTTTACCCGCATTCATCGTGGACCCTGGGAAGGAAGGAACCGGCCGAGGAGGCCCAGCAGCCAGGCCTCTCCCCCAAGGCGCCCCACGGGGAGCAGCCTGCGCCAAGCGGCCTGCGCTGGGACCTGCAGCCTGAGCGGCCCTTGTAAGAAGCTCCTGGATCCCTATTTCAACCAATGGGACGGAGGCTTTCCCTGTCTGGTTAGAGTTGTGTGGCGCGTCAGCATTTTCCCCAACCCATGGGCGTGTTTTCATTCTGACCAATCAGGACAGCGCTTTTTGGACCAATCAAATTGCAAGGATTTGGAGTCCTCATTTGCATGAGGACAGACTTGTCGGGGACCAGGGGTGGGGACTTCTCCATAGGCGCCCGCTCCCCGCTGGCTGGAGGAGAGCATTTTCCGAAGACTGTTTCCCTCCTGGAGCTGAAACGCCCAAGGTGTCTCGGGGTCCCAGGCAAAGCGGGGCAGGCCGTCTAGCTGGACAGGGGCCCGGCCCAGGGCCACCTCACAGCCCCTCAGCCGTCTGCTTCACAGCTGAGCTGCTCGCGCTGAATAAAGTTTCCTTCTTCACCACGTGCCTAACGCTTGTTGGTGTTGAGTTGGCGCCAACCACCGGCAGCTGACAATTTAACACCCCCGATTCTCTTGCTAGGAACTCACAACAAGATACGGGGGTTTCTTGCAGGGACTTGTCTTATCCGCACACTTTCCCCTACGAGGATGCCACCAAACCTCGTTAAATTGTCCTGCCGCCTGAGCTGCTCTTGCTCCCCGGGGGCCGCCTGGCCTTCGCCTGGCGGTGCCCCCCGCCCCGCCCCTCGCATCGGGCAGTCCCATTGCTCTGACAGTTGTCTGAGACGAGATCGGGGAGAGAGCGGCTCTATGTTGTTATGTTCTTTGCAACAGGGGACACGCAGCCGCCACCCAGCTTAAAGTAATAAAAAATGGTCCCTCGGACCGTGGCTCCTTCCCCGCGCTTCTCCGATCGCACCGCCCCCTGCAGGTAACCTGCGTTGCCTGTGGGTAGTTTCTTTATACATGTATACACATGCATGTCAATATACACCTGCGTGTGTGCCTAAGTAATGAACTGGTTTTTCTTTATTTAGTGTTACACAATGGGTCTCATAATATCTTCTCCCTTAAGGTACAGCATGCCTGGTATTACTTCAGATATGTCGACATGCTTTGCCCTTCAGTGGCCTGCTAGATAATCTGCAATCTTCCTGTGTCCTGTGATTTAGAGTTTATCTCTTGCAAGCAGCGCATAACTGAATTATTTTAAAATCCAATCTGACGATCTCTAATGTTTTTAACAGGAGAGTGTAGTACATTTACATGTACTGTTATCACGGAACCACGTGGGCTTGTTTTAACATGTTATTTTATGCTTTCCGTGTCCTGTGCCCACACTTCTTTTGAAGCCCTCCTGTCTCATACCTGTTGCATTTCTCTTTAAGGTGTCTTCTTGTGTGTTCGTTTCACCCTTAAAATGGGGGGAAGGAAGGAACTTGTTTCGGCGGCGCGGACTCGCGCTCCTCGGCGGGAGCGAGCAGGGCGGCCGCCTGCGCTGACGGCGAAGCCCTTCGAGGCCCCGGCGTCTCGCAAAGGTTGCAGCTCCGTCCCCCGTCGTGACGGTGTCCCCTGTGTGTCACGGGGCGCCTCTCCCAGCCTCGAGCCTCCCAGTCCCTCCTGCCGCGCGGTCCCAGGTTAGTCCCGCGCTTCGCCATGGAGCTCCTCCAGCTGCCGGACGGCCCCCCAGCCCCGTGGCTCGGGGCGGGGGTGGGGGGGACTCCCGCTCGGCGCTGAGCGGCCACGGCTGCCCCTGCAGCCACGGCTGAAACCTCGGGCCCGGCCCCGCCCACGCGTGTCCTCAGCACCCTGTCCGCTCAGACCACGGGCCTCCTCAGGACGCGTGTCTGTGCACGTCATGGTCTCCGCGGGAGGCAGGGACCCGCGGCCCCGCTGCCAGCCTCCCGTGCCCCCGGCCCAGGGGCGGCCGCGCAGGGGCGGCAGAGCACCCGGCCCCGAGCAAGCCGCCGTCCCTGCGGTCACGGCACCTGCGTGCCGGCGTTTCCACCTCAGAGCCAGCAGGACCCTTGCCCTGGGTCCGTCGTTTCTTCTTTGTTGAATTGCTGTGACTTTATTGCAGTGGTCCTAATTTTTCCCTCCTCCGCCCAGCCCGGCCCCCGCTCCCACGGCCCACCCCGCCCCTGCTGTCCGCGGCCGCGGCCGCGGGTCACTCGTCTGTGTTCTTAGAGTTGATCTTCTCGGTGAGGGCATGTGGTGTTTGCCTCTCACCGCCTGGCCGATCTCACGGAGCAGAACGCGCTCCAGGTCCTTCCAGGCTGCGGCGAAGGGTCGCGTCCCTTCCCCTTTCCTTCTGCTGCGCAGTGCTCCGGTGTGTGAACGCGGCAGCTTTTGATCCCCTCCCCTATGGACAGGCACTCAGGCTGCTTCCAGCGCTTGGCGGTCGTGAATAGCGCCGCGGCCGCCGCGCCCTCCTCCCGCCCCATCCTCCTTCCCCCTCGCCTGCCTGAAGCGTTTGAGTGGACGAAGGGCCGGACGTTGCCTGTGACGCTCCCCACTCTTGGGTTGGTGGGTCAAGTCCAGGCCCCCCTGGGGATGTCTCCCCTCACAGGCCCCGTTTCTCGGCCGCGTGAAAGGGCACACCTTGGGACTCGGTGCGAGAGTCCGACCGCCCTGCCGCAGCCGCACGCCCGGCGCCGGGGTCCGCGCCGGTCAGCTTCCCCGGGCTGACGGCCCTGCGTCTGCCCGTGAGGTGCGGACTCCGCGCAGGAGGCGGAATGGAAAAGAAACACCTGGGAGAGAATACCTGTAAAAGAAAACACTTACAATCTTATCTCACGACGTTTACTTACCCACCTCAGACTGAAATCTCCGCTACGCCTGTGGTTCCCTTTGCCTCGGGCACTAGCACGTGGCTCTGCTGAGCGAGCGGGCGGGCGGGCGAGCGAGTGAACGAGCTGGAGTCGGCAGGAACCAGCCGGCAATACCAGCAGTAGCTGTAAAGACTGCCTTAGGTGCCCTGCGGCAGAACACGTGGGCATTATTTTATAAAGGCGACGCTATTTTCCCCGTTTTCCAGGCCCGCGGCTGAGTCTCAGGAGTCGCACCAGCGTGCGCCGCTGTGAGCGCCGGGTGGGATTTGACACGAGACCGGGCCCGCCCTCCGCGGAGCCAGAGGGTCCGTGCTGTCGGCGCCCCCTGGGGACACGCCTGCGTGGGCATCGTCACGGGCAGCGTCCCCCACGGGAAACCCGCCGGGGTCTCCTCGGGGAGAAGGCACCTGAGCGTGTTTTGCCCGCCCGGC